AAATAGGATATCATGTCCGCATCTTGTACAGCAATTAACCACTAGGAAGAATGTATGCAATGTGTTAATTATTGAAACTGTCCTACCAATTTGTTTTGAAACTGTCTCATTGCTATTTATTTCTCAATAAAATTATGGAAAAAAACTAACTATAAAAAATTTTAAAAATAAACATAGGTATGCATAAAAAATAAAAAAATAAAAATTTCCAATTTCAAATATTAAAATGTTTTTAGACCTTAAAGTTTTCATTTTTTTAAAATGTTGGCAAATAATTTTAATTGTTTAAAATGTGAGAAGGAAACAGATGCACAGGCCAGATTTTTAATTTCTGAGTACAAATATATTGATTCCTTACTTATATGAGAGGTGATTTGGATTTCTGTTTTTGCTTTTTGTGTAGGTGTAGTGAAAAATATCAAAATTTCAATCCAGTTCCCTAAATAGATATGTCCTTACTTGTTATCACTGAAAGTTATAAGTGAAAGCCATCATAGGGCAAGGAAGATGCACAAAGTCTTTCACTTCATCATCCCTTTAGGGCTTTGTCATCATCTAAAGAGCCAGTTTTTGTAATTCTATGAAAATAAAAACCAAGAATATTATTTTTGTGAACATATATTATGATTAAGATTACAAAAGAAGTGATTTACTAAGTAGCTTGTTTTAAACTTAAGTCGACTAAAGAATATTCATATTCAAGATAAAACTTTTCACTCAGGTAAACAAATCCAGCATGTATATGTATATTTCCATTTGAATTTATGATTTAGATAAGGGTTTATATCAAAACTTCAAGGGCAGGCCTGATAGCTCAGCAGACTAAAGCACCTACTTAGGCAGAGCACAGTGGCTGGGGCTTGATCCCCCACAGTGCCTTGCAGGCCCCATCTGCAGGGTGCATTGAGGCTGGAAGTGATGGCGTATGATTGTAATTCCAGTACATGGGAGGCTGAAAACAGGAGAACCACTACAAGGCTGATCTATGTAGTGAGGCCCTGTAGACCCTGTAGAAAGCAGAAAGGTATAAAAATGAGGCATAATGGGTAAAGCCATGTTTTTATGGTGGGCTCTAAGTCAACAACTTCTGACATTGCCAGTCCTGCGGATGACCACTACTATTATGGATGACGATGGAATACCTTTCTCTGACAAAACTAAACAAAAAAGAGGATATGAGTGAATGACTATTTTGTGTCAGTATATTCAAAATATTTAGGATAGATATACAATTACGTTCTCTTAATTCAATGAATAAGAAGATTTGTTCTAATAATGGTTGTGGACGGGATGTCATGTCTGCAGCTTGTACGATGAATATCCACAGAGACAACAATGTGCAATGTATTTATTATTGAAACTGGCCTACCTGATTGGATTTGAAGCTGTCTCATTGCTATTTGTTTCTCAATAAAATTATTTTTAAAAAAACCAAACATTTCAGCCTCTGACCAACTGAACAGTATTGTCATATGGTCCATGTAAATTTCTATCCGTTTAAAAATTGTTATAATTCCTTAATCACTTACAGAATCTCTATTTTAATGGCACAGCACTAAACATATCCAATATGTTTCTCTGTAGTAATACTCAAGGTAATAACCATATGCTTTTATTAGAAAACAATACTGCTTATCTTCTGACAGAATTTAATATTAGTAGCTAATAATGAACTAGGTAAAAGGAAAAATTTGATAGTAAGAATGCAACCACAACAAATTCAAAAATAGTCATAGCATGCTCACTTTGACAGCATATATACTAAAATTGGACCAATACAGAGAAGATTAGCATGGCCCCTGTGCAAGGATGGCATGCAAATTTGTGAAGCAGCTCACATTTTTACGACTTCTCCAAATACAGCTTCTCTAACTGCAATGAAACATCCATCTCTGACGAAACAAAACAAAAAGGGAGATATAAATAAAGGAGTATTTTATTGTGAAAAAATTATGTATACACAATGCTACTTTCTCTTAGTTTATTGAGAAGAAAATTTGAACTAATATTATTTGGACAAGACATCATGTCTGCATCTTGTCCTCTGAATAACTACTATGAATGCAACAATGTGCAGTGTATTTTTGTAACTGTCCTACTAACCTGTTTTGAAACTGTTTCATTGCTATTCTATCTTTTTTCTCATTAAAATGAATTTTAAGAAGTCTTAGCCATAGTGCTTAAATCTCATCTAACTCACTATTGCACACTTGACTCTGAATCACATTATATAGAAGTATGTGCACTATCATGAACATAATTAGAAAATCTATTGACTATAGAGCACATAATACATTTCTCAGGAGGTTTTGTTGTGCACAATAACTGACAAAGAGAAGATCTTATTGATTTCAGAACAACAATGTAGCTCTTTCTGAAATCTAAAAGCTGTGCAAAGAATGATGCATAGAGTAACTTCTAAGTTGTCAAATTATTAAGATACATGTAGAAAACAAAATGTCATGTCTTCTTCCAATCTTCCATTTTATTTCAATATATTATCTATTATGCAACTTCTTCTAATCTATTTGTCTTATTGTTAGACAAATCTTAATATATTTGTAGTGAATATATACACATATAAAAATTTTCCAATGTAATCTTTATTAAACACTTCCTGAGCCACTTTTCATTTCTTACAGCTGCTACCTTTAGAATTAATGTCCAAATAGCTAGACATGTAGTATAGTAGTTATTATTAGTAATTAAAATTGTAAGGATATTACCTTCAAATATAGTTAATTTTACTCTTCATTTGTAGAAGCTAAATTTTCCCTTTTAAAAACTGAAAATTCAAAGTTGCTCAACTTGTCCCCATTTTTCTTTAGCTTTTTATCACTACCACTGCTCTATGTATTTAGTACATGATGTCACTATGCACTTCAGACTTATAGTGATCCTCTTGCTTCAGCCTTCACAGTGCTGCGGGTCTCAGTCTCAGGGGTAGGCTTAGGGTGGCATGTATTGCTGGGGATTGAACCCCAGTGCCTGTGCTTGCCTAAGCAGGTGCTTAGCCCACTGAGCTATTTCTTCAGCTCTACTACTGCTGTTCTAATTGTTCTTGAACTTGACCCTGTAGTGGAATGCCCTAGCAACTTTAAAGAATAGAAACATTTGGCTTATTACCTAAGAGTGTGATTTGCTTAGCTGGGGTAAGATTGGGCTTCATTGCATGCTTTTTTTAATTTCTAAAGAGCAAAAAACAGTAGAAAAATTAGAAATGATACAAAATTTTATTAAAGATGGTAAGAGGAATTTGACAATGATAGTTATATTGCATAATGTTATCTTAGTTGTTTAGGTTACCAAATATAAACCTGCAAAATTCATTTTAAAATATTATAAAAAATTAAAAATAAGAAAAAAATTAAGTGTTAATTGTTCCTTTCAATAGACAAGCAGAAATCAGCAGTACAATTATGCAAACTATCCGGCATATATACATGAACATATCTTTTTCCCTTCTTTCTTTTGTGCCTTTCCTCATCACAGTTTTTTTTTTTCTTTTCATTGAACGGATTCTTCCCTGTCACAGTATCTATTGTAACTTTCAGATTTTATTTACACTTTCGAGTTCTCACACTAGTGAGACAATATCATGTTTCACATATGAGCCTGATTTATTTCACTTAGCAATACAGTCTCCATTTACCTATGAAGACCTTGAATTTATCTCGGTTTATACTTGAGTATATATATTCATGTATATAGGTAGGATATTTTAGATAATTGTACTAATGATTTCTGCTTATCTATTGAAAGGAACAGTTAACACTTAATTTTTTTCTTATTTTTAATTTTTATAATATTTTAAAATGAATTTTGCAGGTTTATAATTGGTAACCTAAACAACTAAGATAACATTATGCAAGTAGCTGTGTACAGTATTTCCACTGTATAGAAAGACAGCATCTTTTTAACCATTCCTTAGGTGATGGCCATTGGGTTGTTTCCAAGATTTAGCTATGACAAATTCTGCTGCTACAAACACGGATGCACATAAGTTGGTATAATGCTTTCAGCTTTTCTAGAAAAATACCCAAAAGGGGAATAGCTGTGTTGAAAGAGACCACCAATCCTAGCTCTTTTAGGAATATACTCACTGATTTCCATAGTGGTTGTACCAATGTGCATTCCCACCAACAGTAGCAAAGGTTTCTTTTTCCCCACAGTCTCTCCAACTTTGTTATTGGTTGACTTCTTGATGAGAACCATTCTTTATAGTGTAAGAAGGAATCATAGGATTGTTTCAATTTGCATCTCTTGAGGGATCAGTGACGTTGAACTTTTTTCATATATTTATTTGTGATTTATATTCTTTCATTTGTGAAGTGTGCATTCACCTCAGATGCCCATTTTTAGGTTTGTTCTTTCAATTTTTTAAATTAATTTTATTGAGAAAGAAATATCAGTGATACAGTTTCAAAACAGCTAAATGTGACAGTTACAATAATTAATACATTGCATATTATTGTCCTCATAGCAGTTATTCATAGTACAAGATGCAGACAGGATATCTTGTCTAAACACTATTAGTACAAATCTTCTCATTTAACTAAGAGAAAGTAGCTGT